TGGTGAGCTCAGTGGAGCAACGAGCTAGGAAGTGGTCCCTGACAGCACGCAGTGTGTCAGGGAGGCGGGTGACTAGGTGGTAGAGAGTGAGCCAGAGTGGAGGGGGGTGCGTGGCAAGGAACTCAGCAGGCATGGCGGCATGGAAGCGGGCCTCACTAGTACGGAGGTGCGTGATGAGGTCAGCGACTGTGTGAAAGGAGGCCAGGTCGGGAAACAGGTAGGGGAGGGAGAGACGGCCTAGTGCGGCAGAGGCAGGTGAGGAGTAGCGAGCAACTACAGCTGTGTACAGTGCCTGTGCAGTCTTATGCTGACCAAAGTGCTCGCGTTCGTCTATCGGCAGGGAGTTGCGAATGGCGAAGCGAGCGTGGGCATCACGAGTCTGCCACTGTGAGCGAGCAGTGCTGTCAGCAGTAGCAGCAGGGGCAGTGACATGGCCTAGGGCGTGATCGTACAGTGAGATGTCATCCTTGGCTGTGAGCTGTAGGTAGAGGTGCAGGTCATCAAGCCAGGTGTCAAACTTCACAGGGCGGCCCTCAGCATCGAACACGAGAACCTATGGGCTAGCCATAGGAACAGTAGAAATAGCAGCAGTAGCAGTAGGAGAAGCAGGTAGGACGAACCAGGTAGGGCAGGGCGGCCTCTAGGGGCGTGACACGCCGAGGCGCCCTAGGGCACAGGTAGGTAGGTAGGTAGGTAGTTACGTAGTGGTGGGCCCTTAGAAACTTTCGGTCCTAGGAAGGACCTACTCTATACCATGTTGGAATCACTGAACAGGAATGTGGATGAACTAGCAGTGAAATGAGTACAAGTACCTAACCCTAGAATTGTGTACCCCCTATAGGCTAACCCACTGTAGCCTAAACTAACACAACATATATAATGTTTGACAACAAGTAACAAAATATATACCCTACATTAGCTACCCCACTAAAGCCTACAATTAATTATGAAATAGGCATATAAATTTGACACACCCCCATAGGCAAAGTGGAGGAGAGCAAGGGGTCACAAGACCAGTCAAGAGAAGCAAAGCAAGCTCAGGGTGGATCACAATGTCACCACACACACTGAGCACAAGCAAAGGGCCATAAGGTCAGTTCACATGTAGAGGTATATATGCAACAACAACAGTACAGTGATCTCTACCTAGTAGAGCAAGAATGCATGTATATATATAGATCACAGTACAAGCAAAGTCTACAGCAAATGAGGAAAAGTGGGCACAAGGCCTAACAAAGTGCAGAAACGCTGATGATCACCAGACGGAAGTGCCTTGGTGAAAATATCAGCAGTGTTGGCCCGAGTGGCCACGTAAGCAAGACGAGGCTGACCACGCTGCTGCAACTCTCAAGCCAAGAAGTAATGCAGAGCGATGTGCTTCGTTCTGTGCTCCAGTCTGTGCTCTTGACACAAGGCAATGGCAGCCTTGTTGTCGACGTACAGCACTGGAGGAGAACGAGGCCGCTCTCCCAAGTCGGTCAGCAGGTAGGTGAGCCAGCGTAACTCCTGTGCAGCCATGGCTGTGGCGTAGATCTCAGCCTCACAACTGGAGCTGAGAACTGAAGACGAGCGTGTAGAACGCCAAGAAACTGAACCAGAGCCAAGGTTGAAGGTGTAACCCTGTGACGACCGCTGCGTAGCCTGGTCGTCAACCCAAGAAGCGTCTGAGTTCCCGGTGAGGACAACGTCGCTCCGTCCTCCAAGCACGAGCCCCATGCCCGATGTACTGCACAAGTAGCGTAGTACCCTTTTAGCAGCATCCATGTGCACCTTTCGGAGCCGACCAGGAGCCACGTAGCGAGCCAAAAGGCCAAGAGGGTACGCGAGGTCAGGACGAGTGCAGGTCATCAGGTACATGAGGCAGCCCACTAGCTCCGGGTAAGGACCACTCGGCTCTATGGACTCGTCCTAAGGTGGAGCTGGGAGCGAGTGACCTGTAGCCAGAGGAGTGGCCTGTGCCGAGGACCAGGTGAAGCCGAAGCGCTGAAGGACCTGCTGCACCATGTGTGACTGAGTCAGTGTGATGGTGCGGCGTGCTCTGTCCCGGGTGATCTGCAAGCCAAGGTACCTGCGCACCTCACCCAAGTCTGTGCACGTGTGTCTCTTCTACAGCTCCGACTTCACCATGGCAAGAGCCTCAGTGCCAGCAGTGGCAAAGACCAAGTCGTCGACATACACGAGGATGTAGAGCGGCGGCAGCGAAGTGTCGGTGCGCAGAAGCAGTGACGGGTCAGCAGTCGACGGAGCAAACCCAAGAGCCGCAAGTGTAGTCCTCAGTGTGTCGTGCCACTCACGTGGCACCTGGCGGAGACCGTAGACCGGCCGCCGGAGGCTCCACTGGGTACCAAGAGGGAACGACCCAGTGAAGCCAGGCGGGCGGCGTAGCCAGATCTCCTCGTGCAGGCTGCCCTGTAAGAAAGTTGTGCTGAAGTCAAGAGAGTGAAGCTTGTAGTCACGCTGAGCGGCAACATGCAGCAACACCCAAAGAGTGGTCATTTTTGGGGTGGGGGAGAAGGTCTGGAAGAAGTCAACTCCCTCTCGCTGACTGAAACCTCGAGCAACGTAACGAGCCTTGAAGACAGGCGGAGAACCTGGCGTCCGCTTCACTCTGAAAATCCACATGCCACTGACGATGTTCGCCCCAGGAGGGGGAACCTCGTCAACGTAAGTGCCTATGGACTTCCAGGATGCCATCTATGCGTCCATGGCTGTCTGCGAATGAGAGGAGTACTCACCCGCGATCGCCTCAGCGTAAGAGCGCGGGGTCGGGATGTCTGGAGCATCCCGATCTCCCTCAGATGCAATCAGCATGGACACGAGATGAGGCGCAGCGGCTGCAAGACACTCAAGGTCCTTGTGCCTGTCCTCAAGGACGTCCGTGCCAAGAGCACACTCACCCCCGACGGATGGAGGACAGACAGACTCAGACTCAGCAACAAGACTAGCGGCGTAGTCTAGACGACAGGCAGCAGCAAAGTCAGCAAGCTCAGAAACTAAGGCAGACGCAGCAGCAGACTCAAACGACGGGTCAGTGACAACTGTGGCTAGCAAACGCGTGACACTAGGGTGAGCAGCACGAGCGCGGCCAGACTCAGGCTCTGGACCGTCAGGCAGAGAAGACGCAGGAGGGGACGCCAGGGGAACACGCTGCGGAGCAGAGGAAGGACGCAGGGCCATGAGGTGTGTGTCGGGGACAGCCGGTGGACGCTCACGAGAAACACGACGATAAGTACAACCAGTGCGGACAGCGCGAACATGCGAGACAGGACGAGACGCAGGCTCCCGACGCTCAGAAACACCGCCTGTCAGCTCAGTGTAAGGAGAAGGAACAGTCTTGCTGCTTCGCCCGTCTGAGCGACGCTTGGCATACAGAGTTTGGCGTCGAGGCTGAGCTCCCCACCTTGCTGGAGCTGCTTAGGCAGAGGGTAGATATCTTTGCTCTTGACTATGATGCTATTCTCAAAGCCATGTATGCATTGCCTACTAGTGCTAACCGTGCCTGTTACCTGTGCGTACCGCCTGACCCAGGTATAGAGCCTGCTGCTCTAGGTGCTAGTGCGTCTCCTGCTCTAGGTGGTGGTGAGGCTGCTGCCCTAGGTGCTAGTGCGTCTCCTGCTCTAGGTGCTGGTGAGGCTTCTGAGTCCAGGGGCGGCTGCTCCAGGGGCGGCGTCGCTGGTGCAGGGCAGCGCGCGGGTCCCACAGGCGCCGCGACGAGCGACGGGGGGCAGCGCGTAGGCCAGGTGGGGCCGCGTCGGCGGCAGGGCGGGGACGCGTCAGCGGCTGGGCGGGGCCGCGTCGGCGGCCGTAGAAAGCAGCGCGAGGGCTGCGGAGCGGCGCGCGGGGCAGGATAAGGCAGCACGGGGGCTGCAGGGCGGCGCGCGGGCCTGGCGAGGCAGCTAGCGAGCTACGCGCGGGGCTGACGAGGCAGTAGGCGAGCTGCTAGCGGGTTGTACGAGGGCCAGCAGAGGCGAGCGCGAGGGCTGCGCGACTCAGGGCAGTGTAGGCAAGGGGCGGGGTAACTCGGTAACCGGCAAAAAACGGGTGGTGGGCCCTGAAAAACAGTCTTAAAACGGTCCTAAGGACCTATGTTGCTCTCATACCTTGTCGAGAGTAAAGGGAAAGGTGAAAGGTGATGGCACTATCGAGAAAGTTGGGTACAAGTAATTAAACATATACCTTACATTAGCTACCCCACTAAAGCCTACATTTTATTATGACATAGGCATATAAATTTGACAAGCTTCTCTCCTTCTGTGTTGCCATGCCTTCTGATGTTGTAGTTGTCTTGATAACGGAACAATGTAATAACGGAGGCATTTAATTATAAGTCTGTGAACCACCTTGCGCTGGTATGTGAGGGCAAAGTAGATTGATTAAAGCAAAGAGATACAAGCTTTTATAAGAGTACAAGGAATACGAAGAGATATAGTTAATAACCGTTTTACTATTGCTGTTGCGGTTCGATACAGTGACGACTCGGGCAACTGCTCAATAACGAGTCAGTTGTTTGTCCTTGCTGTCGCGCTGTATTTGTCAGGTCAAAGGTCGCTGACCTTTGACTTTCGCGTAACCTCCAGCAGTTGCTCAACCTCCGAAGGTTGACTTGCTGATGCTTCGTTGTGTTTCGCATCGTTTACGACTTAGTGTTTCGGCGCGACAGAGGCGCTTACGGTAAATCACTTGTTTCCAACAGCTGCAACACAGCCCTAGCGCATGCATGGCAATTGTGGTATTCAATAGAAAATGTTACAGTACTGAGAGGCAGGATTTGCATCAACATAACCATGTACTAATTATAGCTGCCGAAAATTTTCACCAAGTAAACTGCATATAGATGTTTACTACGTGTAAATGTAGAAATGGCACTCGTTAACTACCAACCTCCTAGAAATGTATAAATGTATATGTATCAAGTACAAATGGCACTCGTTAACTACCAACCTCCTAGAAACAGGGTAGTTGCTTACGGTACTAAGAACTCTCGTCCACCCCTCGCATATCTACACCTGAAAATCCGGAACGACCACCTTAGCCGCCACAAAATTAGCACACTTAGCACTAACTATAGCAAAACCCCTCACAGCAAGAGTCTTCATGGGTCCCTTAGCCCTCTCACCACCACCACCTCCACCTCCACCCCCCTTATTCCCTCCACTCCCACCACTCGCTCCAGTCCTACCATTACCACCATCTTTCCCTCCCGCTCCCGCTCCCCCCGTGCCTCTCCGCTCCGCCTCCAGCCGCGCCTGCTGCATCTTCCGTCTCATCCTCAGCTTCGCAGCTTGAGCCGCCCGGGCGCTCTGCTTAGAGTTGGGTGAGTTCTCCACAGGAGCTGCAGACGTTGCTGTTGATGGTGCCACTGCCCCGCTCCGCTGCTGCTGCTGAGGTTGCGAGTCAGCAGGGGCAGCGGCGGCGGCGGGAGTTGCAGCGGGAGTGCTGTTTGAGAATGTGCTGGCAGCTCCTGATTGGCTGGCCGCCATCTGCTGCTGCTGTTGCTGCTGCTGTTGTTTCTCGGCTGCAGCGGAGGCAGCGAGGCTGATACCAGAGGAGGCAGGAGCGTGGTGGGTGAGGGACGAGAGCGGCTCCTCCTTGCACACCCCACATGCACGCTCTGCAGGTGGGCAGTCCTCTCCCAGCGTTATTTCCTGGAAGCACCAAAGAGAAAACAAACAGCAGCAGGCTTTTTTAGATCAGCAAGGTTCTATTTGCGAAACACGAGTGAGAGCAGCCCTTCATGGGGCAAGCACGTTGTGGGAAAAGGAGAAAGACACCTATGAGTCAGCAGACGAGACAAGAATGGATGGTTGTGCGTACCTTAATCTGAGCGATGGTGGACTGCACTAGCTGTATCACCTCCAGCAGCATGGCTGCCGTGTCTCTCTGTGGCGTTGGAGAGTTGGAAAGGGGGAGTAGGGTAGTGGGGGGGTGAGAAGGAAAGGGGGAGAAAGGAAAGGGGGAGAAAGGAAAGGGGGAGAAAGGAATGGGGGGAGAAAGGAAAGGGGAGAGAAAGGGGGCATGAGCAGCTGAAACAGCATCAAGAAACCAACGAGCACGGGCACTAATAAAAGCTGGAAAGAGGGTAGATAAATCACATAGTTAGAATGGGCTCGAGGGTAATCACACTCAGAGGGTAAATTACCTTATTGGAGACGGGCACGAGGTCCAGCAGGCGCTTGACGCGGTGGTTCATGTCGTGCCGCCGCTTCCTCGCTGCCGACGCCGCAGCGTTCTGCACAAACCCCCGCTTGCGGCTGTACCCTGATCCACCCCCCATCATATCCTCCTCATCATCCTCCTCCATATCATCCATAAACCCGCCCATGTCGCCCGCTCCCCGTGCCGCTTGTGCAGCAGCAGCAGCAGCAGCAGCAGCAGCAGCAGCAGCTGAGGCGGAACCTGGTGCTGATGAAGCGCCAGCGCCCAGGGAGGGGAGGGAGGAGGGGGTGGTGGTGATTGAAGCGCTGCGCGGAACCATCTTGTATCCAAAGCCCAGCGGCCCGTTGCCTCCCGCATACTGCAGCTGCATCACCGTGTCGCTGTGCCCTGCGGGGTTAGGGTCGTTTGTCAATGTTGCTTGCTTGACTGCGCCTCCCTTTCCTCCTCCTGCTCCTGCTGCCCCCCCACCCTCAGTCTCCTCTGCAGCATCCAGGCTCAGTTTCAATTCGTCCTCCTCGCACGTCAGGTCCACAGATGCACCTGCTCTAGAGGCACCTGCACCTCCCCCAGGTGAGCCTGCCCCGGTCGCTTCTTCCTTCACAGTCATGGGTGCGTTGCTAGTGCTGCTGGCATGCCTGCTGACGTCTTGGGGACGGGCTGCTGAAGGTGCAGCAGTCAGGGGTGGGAGGACCAGGGCGCGAGTAGCAGGAGCAGCAGGAGCAGCAGAAGGAGCAGGAGGGGCAGGGGCGGTTGGAGCAGCAGTGATGGTTGAAGTGGTGGCGGATGGGGGAGTGCAGGGTGGTGCTGATGGGGAGCGGAGGAGGGTAGGGTGCGTTGAGAGGAGAGGGCGAGAGGGGGGAGGTAGAAGGGGCAGCGTTTGCGACTGCTGTGGCTGCTGCTGTGGCTGCTGCTGCTGCTGCTGCTGGGGCTGCTGCACCTGCTGCGGCGGCTGCTGCGGGTGCTTCTGCTGCTGGCTGTGCATTGGTCGCTTCTGCTGCAGGGTGAGGGGCGCGAGGGAGGAGTGGTCTAGCGCAGGGGGAGGCAGGGAGCGAGAGGGGACCAGCAAGGGGGTACCTCTGGGGGTGTGGCTGCCACTGTAGGGAGCGCCACTACTGTGAGGGGTGCTGCCGTTGCTGCTCTGATACACGCTGCTGCTGCCGTTGCCGCCGCTGCCGAAGCGAGAAGCAGGGAGGGAGAGGGGCGCGTGAGAGAGGGGAGTGGGCGGAGCGCGGGGAGCAGTGGCGGCAGCAATAACAGGGGTGCTGGCGTTGGAGAAAGCAGGCGACCCTGCTGCTGCTGCCGCTGCTGGTGCTGCTGCTGCTGCTGGTGCTGCCAGTGGTGGTGAGTTAGAAGAAGCTCTAGGAGCATTCGGAGCAGCAGAAGCATCAGCAGCAGGAGCAGGAGCAGAAGCAGGGGCAGTGGGAGGAGTGGAGTATCGTTGAAGGAGGGGAGGAGAGGAGAAGGGTGGCCCCGCGGAGGGGGTCCCTGCAGGAGTCCTAGGAGGAGCAGACATGCCGTTATATCCGTTACTGTTACTGTTACCAATGCTGTTACCAATGCTGTTGGGGGTGCTCTTAGTGATGCTGGTTTCCGTGTTATTGACTCCCATGCTGTTGGGCTGCCAGCCTTGCGGTGTGGCTGTGTGGGAGAAGGATTGAGAGTGGGACAAGGGATGCTGGGCGTGGGATGGTCGGGGCTGGCTTGCCGGAGCGTAGGATGCAGAGTGAGAGCGAGTGAGAGGAGGAAGGGTCGAGGAAGCTGGGCCACCAGCAGCACCAGCAGCACCAGCAGCACCTGCACCAGCAGGAGCAGCAGCGCCACCAGCGCAGCAGGTGCAGGCTGCATGCATGTGATTGGCGGACGCAGCCCTGTTGCTCGTCCCGCCGCCCACATTATTTGCACTGTTGTTGCCGCTGAGAACCACCATGCCATTATTATTGTTATTATTATTAAAGTTATTGGCGCTCATGCTGTTATTCCCAGTTATTCCCGGGCATGAGCTTGGACCAATAGGCATGGCAGGACCGGCAGGAGCAGGAGGGGGAGGAGGCAGAGGAGGAGGGGCAAAGGCAGGAGGTACGGCGGTTGTGGAGGGAGGAGGGGAGGGCGAGACAAGCGGGATTCGGACCACTGACGTGTCCACGCTGCTGCCAAAGCCGCCGCTGCGTCCTGCTGCTTGTCCCGCTCTGCTGTTGCTGCTGCCCGCCTGTTGCCCTTGCTGCTGCTGCGGCAGCTGCTGCATCTGAAACGGCGGCTGTTGCTGCACGGGCGGCTGCTGTAGCATCACCTGTGGCGGGGCTGCTTGTAGCGGCGGTTGTAGCGCTGGCGGCACGAGGTGCCCACTGGCACCGCCACGCGCGCCACCATGCTGCATGCAGCTGCACGCCCCATGACCATCACCACAGTGATTGTGGCTGTGGGTGTGGCTGTGGGTGTGGGTGTGGCTGTGTGAGCTTGCAACGCGACGGCTCGTACAGGCGCCACCGCTGCAACTGGCAGCAGTGGGACCAGTGGTGCTAGCTCCCACCGGCACTGCTGCTGCTGCTGAGCCTGTTATTGCCGTCCCTCCGCTGGAAGCTTTTCGCTGCATGAAAGGCAGGAAGGATCCCAGAAGCATCGGCTTTGCCACACCTTCTCGCACCTGTTGCTGCTGCTGCTGCTGCTGCTGCTGTTGGTGCTGCTGCTGCTGGCGCTGATATTGCTGCTGCTGCTGCTGCGGCTGCTGCTGCTGACGCTGATATTGTTGCTGCTGCTGTTGCTGCAGTTGGTCTTGCTGCTGGCGCTGATACTGTTGTTGTTGCTGCAGCTGGTATTGCTGGTGCTGCTGCTGCTGGTGCTGCTGCTGCTGCTGCTGCTGGTACTGCTGCTGCTGCTGCTGCTGCTGGTACTGCTGCTGCTGATGATGTTGCTGGTGAGGCTGCTGTTGCTGCGGCCTCTGCTGTTGTTGCTGCTGCAACACCACCGTCTGGGAAAGAGGCTTGAACTCTGGCTGTTGGTATAGCTGTTGCTGTTGCTGCTGCTGCTGCTGTTGCTGCTGCTGCTGCTGCTGCTGCTGCTGCTGCTGCTGCTGCTGCTGCTGCTGCTGCTGCTGCTGCTGCTGCTGCTGCTGCTGCTGCTGCTGCTGCTGCTGCTGCTGCTGCTGCTGCTGCTGCTGCTGCTGCTGCTGCTGCTGCTGCTGCTGCTGCTGCTGCTGCTGCTGCTGCTGCGGCTGCTGGTATAGCTGTTGCTGCTGCGGCTGCTGTTGCTGGTGCTGCTGCTGCTGTTGCCGGTGCTGCTGCTGCTGCGGCTGCTGTTGCTGGTGCTGCTGCTGCTGTTGCTGGTGCTGCTGCTGCTGTTGCCGGTGCTGTTGCTGCTGCTGCTGTTGCTGCTGCTGTTGCTGCTGCTGTTGCTGCTGCTGCTGCTGCTGCGGCGGCGGTGGCGGTAGGTGCATTTGCTGCTGGTACTGCTGTTGGGCCGACACTCCCACTTGTGGCGAACGCTGTTGCCTCGACGCCTCTGTCTGCTGCTGCTGCTGCTGCAGCAGCTGTGTTTGTTGCGGCGGCAGCTGTGGCACTTGCACAGCAGAGCTACCGCCCCCACTCCCTCCGCTCCTTATCGCCTCCGCGCTCTCTCCCTCTGCCCCACGCAGGTATCCATCTCCGTTCGCACTGCCTGCACTCACTCCACCTGCTCTCGCACCTGACTCTGACCCTGAACCCGAGCCTAGGGCGGAGCCTAGGCCCGAGCCTAGCCCCGAGCCTGAGCCGGAGTCAGCGGGGAGTCCGGCGGGGTGCATGGGCAGAGGGGAGCCATCGAGGCTGCCCAGCCCAGCGAAGATGTTGCTCTCTGCCGCGCTGCCACCGGCCTGTAACACAGGTGACTGTTGTTGCTGCTGCTGTGGTGGTTGCTGCGGCTGTAGTGGCTGCTGCGGCTGCTGGTATTGCGGTGATTGCCGCTGCTGCTGCTGTTGCTGCTGCAGGAGCGGCTGCTGCGGCGGCCTGGGAGGGGGAGGGGGGAGGTCCACTAGGCCCAGTGGCGACGGTGCGCGCGGGGAAATGCTGTCGCCCGCTACGATGGCGACGGCGGCGGCGGCAGCGGCGGCGAGAGCGGGGGAGTCGGAGAAGGTGAGGTCGCGAACCAGCGCCGTGCTGCTGCTGCTGTGGTTCATCTCACTGCCGTACTGCGCCTGCTGCTGCTGCTGCATCTGCGATTGCGGCTGTTGCATCTGCCGCTGTTGACTGTTAGGGTTGTACTGCTGCGGCTGCGGCTGCGGCTGCGGCTGCGGCTGCGGCTGCTGCTGCTGCTGCTGCTGCAGAAGCGGCTGCTGCGACGCATCCAGCGGCCGCGTGTCGTTTTCCCGCGCGTTGAGACGGTCCATCAGGTTGCCCCGCACTGCCCGCCGAGCCTCGTTATAAGCCAGCCCGCGATAAGTACTAGGCGAGCAGGCGATCGGAGCGGGACCAGCATTTCCCGGAAACAGGTCGCTCTGAGGCGTTGGGGAGACACGAACATCCGATGTGGACGACGGGCCAATGGAAGACGGACACGTGGAGGCCTGGCCGGTCTCGCAGAGGATATCGGAAACGGGCGTGTCGTAATAGGAGGTGAGGGACCAAGGCTCCGGTGATTGGTTGGCGGGGTAAGACGGGCCGTTAGTGTAGGAGGGCGCATTGGTGTAAGATGACGGCGCGTTGTTGCTAGACGGCCCGTTAGTGTACGAAAGGGTGTTGTTGAACGACGTTCCGTCCGATCCGCCGCCGATCGCCCGGCTGCCGTGCGGCGCAGGGGTGGCGAAGCTCACCGAATCAACAGCCATGATTAGATCCTGCACGGTCATCCCAGGCATCGGCGAAGTGCGCGAGAGCAGCAAACCCGCAGAGTCCGTCCCGGACAGATTAACTCCAAACGGACTATTCCCGCCACTCATACCCCCCATCCCACGATTACCGCCGCCAGATCCGGCGGGCATCGCCCCAGCGCCCATCCCCGGTCCGCTTTCTCCTTGGTACCCGCGGCTTCCGCCGCTCCCGCCGCTGTTTCCCGCAAAAGGCGGCGCTTCGTGCAGCATTGTGCTGTCGCCGCTGATTGGGTCATTGAAAATGTCGTCTTCGCTCGGCAGCCACGCCGGCGACCAGCACATTCCGCCTGCGCCATCCCCTCCCGCCCCCCCGCCCCCGCTCTTGCGCGGAGTTTCCGCCTCCGGGATCCGCGTGTGCGGGGACGGGCGGGAGAGGCGCGCCTCCATGTCGTCGGCGGCCGTCAGAAAAGATGACGGGCCGGGAGGAGATGACGGATCGAAGTCGTCGGCGAACTCCGTGTCGGAGAGGCGCTCCGACGAGGTGAAGCACGCGTTCGCGCCGCCCGGGTCGAGCCCGTGCATGGCGTCGAGCGCCGCCCAGAGCGGCGGCGCGGGGCTGATTTGCGGCGCGAAGAGGGAAATCGGTGCGGAGGGATCGTCGAGAGACATTTTGGTGGCGGGAGCGTTGTGACCGGGGGAGGCGAGGGGGAGGTGGATGAGGACTGAATCGTCCGACATTGTGCGGCTCTGCTGCGCTAAGGAACCTACGAGAGTATCGGGGCTAGATATTGCCGCTCTGCGCGTGGCTAAGTATCGCGACCATGACCTATTTAAGCGGCTTAAGGAGAAGCATTGATCCTTAATATTATCCCTACTCTCTAGATGGCCGACTTTGCTTCATAGTCAACATTACTAGTTGCGCCGAAGCCATTTCGGAAAGCTCTCTGACTTTCGTTTGACAGACCGATTGTGGAAAGGACAGCAAAGGGAAGGGTGCTGCAGATCGAGATTGAAGAAGACGAAACGAGCACCACTCTCCAAAGTTGACTGCGTTAGAGAAAGCCAGGTTAGGTTGGCAGGAGCAAGGGAGGAGGGACCCGAGATCATCACCTTGGCGTAGCGATGGAAGAGGCAAGGGTGCGAGAGAGGGATTGATTGCTGGTGCTGTGATTTCCCATGCTGCCACATCCCCCCAGATTGCCCCACGCCGAAAGGAATTTGTCGAAGTTATGAAATCGGAGCGCATGTCCGCGGCCTCTGGGTGATGATGCCATGAGCGCGGCGCGCGGGAATGGGTGGCGAGTGAGGTTTGAAACACGAAAGTCGACAGCACAGTGACCTTTTGTCACAATGCGTTGCGTTCATAGCCGTCGGATCTGAAATGCTCTACATCGAAAGTCCGATCGTCAAAGTTCGTGCTATTTCAATGGGTTTCTGAAGGCGGCATTGAAAACTTTAGCCTTGCCGGGCAGGTTTGAGCAAACCAGTCCAGTGCGCAAAGCAAACAGGGGCAGTTATTGCACATGATTCGCAAGGGAACACACACACCACATACTCCCAGGGCTTGCGACCATTCACGACAACGAAAAATCGCCGTATCATAGGTCTGACTACTGACAGCAATCGCACGTCCTGCAATGTCATGCCTGGATTCGCACGGATGTTACCAAATTGGTGTCTGACGTCAGATTCGGACGAAAACAGGTCGCACAGTCGTGAATTTACTCATTAGACGGCTGATTCCAACTTCACTTGTAGATAGAAGTGTCTGTTCTATAGTCAGGTCTTACGCACAAACATATGCGCGGCTGGGCCGTGGGTATGTATGTAGTGGGCAAGCGACCTTATGCGCAGCTTCCACGACGAGGAAATTTTCGTTAAAGCCCAAACCTGAATTTTTTTTATAAAAAAAAAAAAAAAAAAAAACAAGAGGCGACTAGGTCGTCCTAGGGTTGCGAAGCGAATCGGTACGATACTTTTTCACTTTAGTGTAGTATGAAACCTGTAGTGTACTAGAAAATGGTACTTCCTCTTTCGTAAAAAGCCTTGAATAATTGCTACTGCTGGAATTGATCCTTAAACCTTTCAGCTCCCAATAGACGTTCGTCCGACTGGGCAAGCGCATATGCGTTAGCCTCGTATCGTATTTTATTAGTCTTTTGTTTTTAGCGACGTATGTGTCTTTGCGTTAGGGTTTGTTCAACCCTTTTCTTTCTCCCTGCCTCTCGCCTTTCGAGCCAGTCACGCCAGTTGATTCCCCCGCGAGTCACGCTACTCCACCTAGAGATGCAAGGTGAGATCAACCTTAAGTAATAATCTAGAACTAAGTTAGGTGATTAAGAACTAGCCTATCGTCCCTAACTATCGAATCCTAATCGTTTACTCTAGTCTTGGCCGTCTTTAAAAGATCCAGGTTGTTAAAGGTTAGGTTCTAGACTTGTTGTAAGTACTTAAGTTTGAAGTCGTTTGTAAGCCTGCATGTGTTCTTTAGTTCCTCATCGTCCCTTTCCTTTTATCGCATCCTGGTCACCTCGTAGTTGCACATGTTTCTTTGACATTCTAACTTCATTTTCTCTTCTGTTCTTTCTATATAGATTTGAATACTTAACCTTCATTGCCTTAGTTTATAGATTGAACAGATTTTTATTGAACCACATTTCAGTTTTTGTTATGTGCTCCTTGTTTATTGCCACCACCCATACATATCTTCTCCATTTCGTTTCTGAGCTCTATATACCCTTGCCTTTCAGTTTTCATTCCGTTCAGTCATGAGGTACTCATTCAACGGGCGTCCCCTTTCAACTATGCACGATCTAATCGTAGCTAGGTGAGTTCGTTCTATTGATCTTCTTTTTGGGTTGCGAAGCAACCTATTACAATCGTTATGTACAATTTTTTTTTTCAATCCTCAATACCTTTAAAAAATAGAGGGAAAAAATATAGTGAACGGTACTAGCTAAATGACTGACTGCTATGTATCTGCCGCGTCAATTTACCACGTGCTGAACCACATTCCTTCTCATTTCCTAGTTTACTTTGACTGAACCTATATTTCATGAGTTGCCAAAATGATGTACTGTGAATGCATAACTGTTTATTCCGTGATGCATATGTCTGCTGTTGTTATAAGTAGATGAAGTAAATGCAAACGCATAAGTATAATGCATATACGGTACTACCGGTACCGTAATGAAATAAATGCACAGCATGATGGAAGTGCGTAACAGTTAATTGACGCAGACCCTATGCTACCGCATCCCCTGCCTAGCATGGGGGGGAGCTCAATAGCATAATTTCTGAATCATCCAACTGTTACATGAAACAACACAATCTGTGTGCTATAAAAAACAGGTCAATTCCATCAAATCCAGTTCGAATGGACACACTCACTGAGTGCGCAAAGAACCTTCTCGGAAATGATAGTTTGATCCCAATTTTTAAACCCCACAGACATGTGTTATTAATGCAATGGAAACATGAATGAAAACGCATACGCACACAACACAACGCATACACATGATCATACACATTCACACAGACACGCACGCACGAAGCCAACTGACAAAGCATATTAACCGCATATGAAATAGAAACCTAAATCACCAAGACATTATGTATCCTATACTGTAAGTCACAAGCAATATCAGTCTACTTCTCATATTGAGCTCGACTGCCTGAAAAGTAAGACAAAGCTGGGTTGAGGAAGGGAAGGCAAATGGGAAATAACAAGGCATAATGAAATTACAAGAAAAAGGAATAATGAAGAAACAAATGAAACAATACAAGGGCCAAGAAAAACGCCATGAGCATTGAAGGGTTAGAGCTGACAAATAACAAGGAGAAAATGTACTAAGGCATAAAACGAAAGTAAAGAACGAGAACAAAGGGAAAAACACATGACCAGACAGTAAACGAACGAAGAGAATATAACAAATACGTTGAGCGAGAACAACGGAGACCGAGAGCGAGAGCGAGAGCGAGAGAGAGAGAGAGAGAGAGAGAGAGAGAGAGAGAGAGAGAGAGAGAGAGAGAGAGAGAGAGAGAGAGAGAGAGAGAGAGAGAGAGAGGACGAGAGAGCGAGAACGAGAGAGTGGACGAACGAGAGAGAACGAACGAGAGATTTGACAAAAGAGAACGAGAGAACGACAGAGACGGAACGAGAGAGAGAGAGAGAGAGAGAGAGAGAGAGAGAGAGAGAGAGAGAGAGAGAGAGAGAGAGAGAGAGAGAGAGAGAGAGAGAGAGAGAGAACGAGAGAGAGAACGAGAGAGAGAACGAGAGAGAGGGAACAAGAGAGAGGGAGAACGAAAGAGAGAGAGAGAGAGAGAGAGAGAGAGAGAGAGAGAGAGAGAGAGAGAGAGAGAGAGAGAGAGAAAGAAAGAGAGAGAGAACGAGAGAGAGAGAGAGAGAGAGAGAGAGAGAGAGAGAGAGAGAGAGAGAGAGAGAGAGAGAGAACGAGAGAGAAAGAAAACGAGAGAGAACGAGAAAGAGAACGAGAGAGAGAACGAGAGAGAGAAAACGATAGAGAGAGAACGGGAGAGAGAGAACGGGAGAGAGAGAACGGGAGAGAGAGAACGGGAGAGAGAGAACGAGCGAGAGAGAACGGGAGAGAGAATGGGAGAGAGAGAACGAGCGAGAGAGAACGGGAGAGAGAGAACGGGAGAGAGAGAACGGGAGAGAGAGAACGGGAGAGAGAGAACGAGCGAGAGAGAACGAAATGGACTGAACATGCAACCTATTACAATCTTTATGTACAACCTAAGACGAGGTTGAGAAAAAAATGAACTAAAACATGCAAATATGAAGAAAAGGCAAACGACGAGAGGAAAAGTTTAAGGATGAAGAATAGAAGAAACAGATGCAAGCTTATGCAGGAAGGAGAACCTGAAATCTTTACAAAGGGCCGAGAACCTAAGTTTAAACAACTAAGTCTCGCTAATACTCATCCATTTACACGGCTAGGATACGGAATGACTAAATGTTAGTCTATCTAATAGGCATCTAATTTAGTTGGAGTTAAAGTTGAGGGATCTTCTTACCTAAGTTGCAGTTAGAGTAGGTGGAGAAGTTGGTAGAGCGTGACGAGCGAGGAGAAGCGGGAGAAAAAAAGGGCGAACAAACCCTAAGGTAGTCTCAGATTCGTCGCAATTTTTTATGTCTGAATAATTCAGCTCTTTGAGGCAAACATCTGTGCTGTAGCAGTGGTACAAGGCTTGGAGTGGAATCGAAAGGTCCTTAGTTCGAATCCCATTCGCGATGTACATTTGACCTTCTCCTTATGAGGGGAAGTACCACTTAGTGTCACACTACAGCATTATGTACAGAATTAGAAGTTGTACAAATTTATATAATTACGCAAAACGCTTCGCAACCCTAAGACGAATTCGTCGCCTCTTGTTTGTATTTCGCCTCTCATCTTTTTCTCTTATCTGTTCCTCTTTCTGTATTGATCTCGACTTTAACCTTGTTCGTTAACCATGAAATTCTGTTTGTTTCCGTTGCATCTCGTTTCCTTTTCAACAACTTTTCTCTTGTTATGGGTTATTCTACGTTGTACATTCTTTGTTAACCAGCACCCGTTTATAGTTTTGAACGTTCCTCTTATTGGGCTTCTTAAATCGGTTTCTTAGTTCTTTGTTCTTTTCTCACCTATCTATGTAGATTGATATTTGTAGAATACCTTCTGTTTGTTGTTGTTGCACATAGTTTCCTTTCCACATTATTTTCTCTTGTTTCTCTGATCCTTTTGATTTTCTGTTTCACCTCTTTCCGTATGCTTCTTTCAGCGTGTTTGTTATCGGATTCTTGTATCCATGTTAACTAGTTTTTTTTGCTGAAAATTTGATGTATCAAATCAGTTCAGCACGTGTATTGTATCATTGCTAGAATTCTTAGCGTTTTTGTGGTACAATTATGCACCTTATCCTTACTGTTCCGCATTTGTCTTTCTTTTTTCTTTCTATTGCTGATTCTTTCCAACAGACCTTGCTGTTTTCTTCAGGAAGTGAAGGTTAATCTGGACGGTGCAAAGATACAGATGGTTCTGTGTAGGATTATATCTTATTGCTAGGGTTTAATTTTGCTCCTGTTTTTTTTTGTTGAAAACAGTTGATGCATTGAGCGTTTTTTTATTTGTGTGAATGTGTGTGATCATGTGTCTGCGTTTGTATGTGTTCATGTGCGTGTGTGTGTATGTGTCGTATTGTGTATGTATGTGATTTTGTTCATGCTTCCATTGCATTAATAACACATGTCTGTGGGTTTTAAAAAATAGGATCAAACTATCATTTCCGAGAAGGTTCTTTGCGCACTCAGTGAGTGTGTCCATTCGAACTGGATTTGATGGAATTGACCTTTTTTTTAGATCGCACAGATTGTGTTGTTTTATGTCATAGTTGGATGGCTCAGGAACTATGCTATTGAGCTCCCCCCCATGCTAGGCAGGGGATGCGGTAGCATAGCGTCTGGGTCAGTTAACTGTGACGCATTTTCACTATGCATTCATTTCATTACCATAGTTATATATGCGATATAATAATGCATTTTCCATTTAATATTTAGATCACCATTTCATCATTATACATCATATACGCATAACATCATCTGGCATATGCGTTACGGAATAAGCAGTCGCACGTTCACAATATCATTTTGGCAACCCATAGAGTATGGGTTCTGTTAAAACAAACCGGGAAATGAGAAGGAATGAGGTAAGGGGAGTGTGCTAAATTGCAGTGGCAAATACATGGCACTCAGTCGCTTTGTTACCGTTCACTAGTTTTTCTTCATCCTTCATTTTTTGAAGTAAAGAGGATGAAAAAAAAAATTGTACATAACGATTGTAATAGGTTGCTTCGCAACCCAAAAAAAGGAAGGCACACTGTGCACAGTTTGCCTACCGAACCCATAGTTGACCTCCCGAGCCAGGCTGGTTACCATAAAACATTGCGCCAAGAAACACAGAGTCGTAGAGCAGAACAGGTTTGGTTGGCGAGACAACCACACCCTCCTGAAGGAACAAGGGCTCAAAATGTGCACAGTTTGCCTTCTTCGGTAATTCAGGTCGTGTGATTTCCATAATACGCAAAGCGAATAGACTATGCGAAGAGATAGAATAAAACGTCACTACAGCATAGGCCATGAGCATTTTCACTTTTATTCCTAGCTCTTTCCCAAACATCGCATTTGGACCTATCGCCTTCCGCGTCCCCCACGCTTCTCCCCACCGTCTCTCACACACCTCCCCACGCACACGCCCACTCTTCCCACCGTCGCCCAAGCTTTCCCCCACCGTCTCTCACGCTTCCCCTTATCGCCGCTCACGCTTCCTCCGGCCTTCCCCCACACCGTCGCTCACGCCTTTCCCCACCTTCCCTCACGTTTCCCCTCTCATCGCCCACGATTCCTCCCACCGTCGCCCACGCTTTGGAGCACCGTCACCCACGCTTTCCCCACCGTCGCCCACGCTTCCCCCCACCGTCGCCCACGCTTCCCCCCACCGTCACCCACGCTTCCCCCCACCTACGCCCACGCTTCCCTCCACCGTCGCCCACGCTTCCCCCCACCGTCGCCCCCGCTTCCCCCCACCGTCGCCCACGCTTCCCCCCACCGTCACCCACGCTTCCCCCCACCGTCGCCCACGCTTCCCCCCACCGTCGCCCACGCTTCCCCCCACTGTCGCCCACGCTTCCCCCCACCGTCGCCCACGCTTCTCCCCACCGTCGCCCACCGCCACCGTCGCCCACCGCCACCGTCGCCCACCGCCACCGTCGCCCACCGCCACTGTCGCCCACGCTTGCCCTCCCATCGTCCTCGCTTAGCCTTTCCGCCGACCTCCCTTCTCTCCTCCTCTCTCCGCGTCGTCATCACTCCCCTGCCCATCACGTTCCCCCTATTCACCATCGCTTCTCTACCCATGCCGCCCACCCTCTCATCCCTTCCCATCGCGTGGGGTGTGGGAGGGTGCATGGTCAGCAGCACCCTTCCGTCGCATACACGTTCATTCATTACCCCTTCCCTCATCTCCCCATTCCTCATCTCCCCATTCCTCATCTCCCCTTCCCTCATCTCCCCATCCCTCACCTCCTCATCCCTCACCTCCCCATCCCTCTCCTCCCTAGCCCTCTCCTCTCCATCCCACACCTCCCCATCCCTCATCTCCTCATCCCTCATCTCCCCATCCCTCATCTCCCCAATCCGCCTCACCCCATTCCTCCCCGCCCCACCCCATTCCGCCCCACCCCTTTCTGCCCCACTCCATTCCGCCCCACCCCTTTCTGGCCCACCCCATTCCGCCCCACCCCAGCATCCTCCCCACCCTCCTCCCCACCCTCCTCCCCACCCTCCTCCCCACCCTCCTCCCCACCCTCCTCCCCACCCTCCTCCCCACCCTCCTCCCCACCCTCCTCCCCACCCTCCTCCTCACCCTCCTCCCCACCCTCCTCCCCACTCTCCTCCCCACCCTCCTCCCCACCCTCCTCCCCAGCCTCTCTTCCTCCCCTCCCTTCTGCTTCTCCCCCAAGCGTCCTCCCTACCTCCCTTCCTCCCATCATCACTTCCTCCCCTCCTTCATTCCTGCATTCCTCACTTCCTCCCTTCCTCATTTGCCAGTTGTCATTCCCTTATACTTCAGCCATGTCACATCTGACTTCTTGATTTGTGTTTGGACAGGTCTGCTCTGCATCTGGTTGTGCATGTGCTAGCTGTTTGATAGTAACACACGTATAGCCATGCCATATGTTGGATTCTTTTTTTATAATACAGGATTATGAGCCTCAGAACAATCATACACATGACCAATACCAAGGAGTTCAACAATTAATATATTACCGTATCTGTAAAGTAAGGGGAATCACCAGACTCGAGAAGGGAACAAAGCTAGGGGGTGTATGTGTAATGTTGTTTTCCGGTTTTGTCTGCTACACTGCAAGCAATAAACCAGGCCGTGGTAAAGCCACATCTGGTGCTGAGCACCTGTAACTGCATTGGGGGGTATGGGGGTGAGTGAAGGGGGAAAGACAGTAAACGGAATGAGCAGAGGGGAAGAGAAGAAGCAGCGGGGGACAGATTGAACAGAGGGGAAGAGAGGAAGCAGGGGGGAACAGAGTGAGCAGAAGTAAAGAGAGTGAGCAAGGGGGAAGAGAGTGAGCAGAGAAGAAGGGGAGGGAGCAAGGGTGAAACAGAGGGAGCAGGGGTGAGCAGGGAAGGCGATAGGGGGAAGCAGGGAAGGAGATAGGGGGAAGCAGGGAAGGGGATGGTGGGGAGCAGGGAAGGGGATGGGGGTGAGCAGGGAAGCGGATGGGGGGATGCTGGGAGGGGGACGAGGGAAGGAGGGAAGGGGACGGGGGGAAGCAGGGAAGGGGAAGGGGGAAAGCAGGGAAGGGGATGGGGGGGAGCAGGGAAGGGGTTGGGGGGAAGCAGGGAAGGGGATGGGGGGAGCAAGTCGGAGGATGGGGGGAAGCAGCGCAGGGGATACGAGGAAACAGGGAAGAAGGGAAGGGTGTATGTGCGGGTTGGAAAGGGGGCGTGACAAGTGTGCTAGATGGGAAGGGAGAAGGGAGGGATGGCGAGGGCAACGAGGAGTGGAAGGGAGGGCGACGGGGAAAACGAGGGCGACGGGGGGAGAGAGAGACGGGGATTGCGAGGGGACGAGCGCGAGACGAAGGGGGGCAACGGGCGGAAGGGAGGGAAAGAGAGCGTGAAGGGGGAAAGAGAGTGAGAAGGGGGGAAAGAGAGTGAGCAAGGGGAAAGAGAATGATCAGGGGGGGAAGAGAGTGAGCAGGGGGGGGGGAGAGTGAATATAGGCGTGAGTTGGGAAAACAGGGGCGAGCAGAGGGGGTAAGAGAGCGTGAAGGGGGAAAATGGGTGAGAAATGGGGAAACTGGGGTTAGAACAAGGGGAGTGAGCAGAGGGAAAGAGAATGAGGAGGGGGGAAGCGAGTGAGCAGGGGGAAAGAGATTGAGGAGGGGGGAAGCGAGTGAGCACGGGGGAAGAGAGTGAGCAGGGGGGAAGAGAGTGAGCAGGGGGGAAGAGAGTGAGCAGGGGGGAAGAGAGTGGGAAGAGAGTGAGCAGGGGGGAAGAGATTGAGGAGGGGGGAAGCGAGTGAGCAAGGGGGAAGAGAGTGAGCAGGGGGGAAGAGAGTGAGCAGGGGGAAAGAGAGTGAGCAGGGGGGAAGAGAGTGAGCAGGGGGAAAGAGATTGAGCAGGAGAGAGTGAAAGGCAATGGGAGGGGAAGTGAAGGTGACGGGTGGGGAAGCGAGTGTGACGGGAGGGGGAAGTGAAGGCGACGGGAGGGGGAAGTGAAGGCGACGGGAGGGGGAAATGAAGGCGACGGGAGGGGGAAATAAAGGCGACGGGAGGGGGAATTGAAGGCGACGGGAGGGGGAAGTGAAAGCGACGGGAGGGGGAAGTGAAGGCGACGGGAGGGGGAAATGAAGGCAACAGAAGAGGGGGGGGAGTGAAGGCGACGGGGGAGAAGTGAAGGCGATGGGGGAGAAGTGAAGGCGACGGGCGGAGCGAAGGCGACGGGCACGCGACGAGCTGCGGAAGCGATGGCGACGACGCGGGCGAAAGAGAGTGGAAGCGTGGGAAAGGAAAGCGAGGGCGAGGGGAGGGTCACGTTTGGGCGAACGGTTGCGATTCGATTTTCGCCACGAGTTTACGCTACAGAGTAGTTGCACAATAACCTGCATTTCGACACAATAATCTTCACCCAGCGCAAACTAGCTTTGCGCGTCATCATTGCAAATCCACGCCACCCAAACCATATGGCGCATCTACTCCCTTTTGAGTGAACGCCGACGCCCTGCCCTGTCTACAGGTATGGTCTATGCCTAATAATCTGCGTGCTATCCCAAACTGTGCACAGTTTGATAAGCTCGCGCTTTTCTGGTTGTGGGAAGGGCACCAACCATCATGGGAAGCGATAAACTTTTGTCGCAAATTGGTTTCGCGAGTGAAAATCTCTCGCAACCCAACCGAACCTCTCCGTGCCTGCCTCCCGAACCTAGTTTTTAGCGTTGACTTCTGTTGAGTAATTCAGGTCTTGGGCTTTAACAGCCCAACACGTTTTTTTTTATTATTATTATTTAGAAAGGCAGGCAGGAGGCTTAATTCGACAGTGAAATTGGATGGTGTTGAAATCGATAGACGCGGGTCACGGACAAGACCCGCGTCCACGTACAGGATCTGATATGCTCTACATCGACAGTTCGCGCAACTTTCTCCACTGTCCACGTCCCAACTTTCTCTTCTCCACCTCTTGGGCCAGCGGCTCCACTACACACAGGAAAAGCTAGGGAGCCAGCAAGGATGGCGCGAGCCGAGAGCTTGTCCGCAGAGGTGCCGCGGACAAGCGCAAGGCAGCCCCAGACATGAAAGACCGACCCAACACCAGGGGACCCGGTCCAAAGACTGGTCAGTGAAACCTCTGGCCGCGAGAGACGCGGCTGGAGGTTCATCTGGTGCGCGGCCTAGCGAAGCGCGTAGGGCCACAGAAAATGGGGCGCATGTTATGGAGGTGCGAGCGATGTCCATGACCAAGCCAATGCGGCGCTCAGCGACCCCATTCTGCTGTGGGGACTCCGGCAGTGTCCAGGACTGTCTAATGCCCTGCTCGCCGCAGAACCCGGCAAGGACGCCAGAGCGAAACTCACCCCCACGCTCGGAGTGGAGACAACGGACACGACTACCACGAGTGTCCTCAATGGCCAGAAGACATCGGATCAGCGTAGAAGTCACCTCGGGCTTCTTCGCGAGAGGAAACACCGTGGTGTACCTGGAGTAGTCATCAACGACCACTAGAAATTAGCGCTCCCTCTCAGGTCCGAGCGTAGGGGCAAGGCCCCAGACGTCCAGGTGGAGAGTCTAGAAGGGAGTAGTGGCAGGACGAAGGGAGGAGGAGTGCGGAGTGGCGCGCAGGCGGCCGCCGACGCAAGGAGCACAAGGTGGAGCAAGCGAGGGAGGGAGCGACAGAAACACGCGCGGGAGACCTGAGACAAGACTGTGACTGGCCATGCTGCGAAGGCGGGGGAGCGACGGGTGGCCAAGGCGGTGGTGCCACAAGACGGTCGGGTGGGCTAAGGACCGACAGGAGCAAGACACAGCAACTAGACCGGACACAGCAACCTGACCGGAGACAGCAACTTGACCGGACACAGCAACCTGTAGGGAAACAGTAACCTAATTGGACTCTACTACCGGGGGAGACGAAGCAACCTGACCAGACGCAGCTCCTTGCGGGGGTGGATTGTGCAGGACGAAGAGACCTGAGTGGGGCTCTCTGCTGAACGTGACAAGAACTGCCTCGGTGGAAGAGTCAGTACATATCGCAGTCCTCCCGTGCGCAGGAAAAGCGACTGTGATCCCCCGCTCCTGAAGGTATCCAACACCTACCAAGTTTCGAGAGAATGAGGGGATGTAGAGACCAGTGAGGAAACCAGAGGGGACAGCTGGGCATGGGAGAGTGGTCGAGCTGCAAGCAATTGCTGGTCCTGAAGTACGATCAGCCAGGGCAACTGGGACTAATGCCGAAAGAGGTGTGACAGTGGTGTGGTCGCGGAAGAAGCACTGAGACGCGCCGGAGTCCAACGTGAAGGAGAGCGACGCAACAGCAGTCGTCACGGCTGGGCTAGTCACAACAGAAGCACCTACACTAAAAGCACAAGTAACTACACTAGCAACAGGCAAAGGTCCTAAGCTCGGTACACGCAAGCCAAGAGATCTAAGGTCCTCAGACATATCAAACACAGGGTGACCACTACGAAACAGACCGGGCCAGATCGGGGAGTCGACTCAGTACCAAAACGCTCACGGTAGAGGTCGTCGAGGCGGCTGTAGCAATGCTATGCAGAGTGGTCAGGACGCCAGCAGATAGTGCCAGCACCAGGGCCGGTCAGGATCCGGTACTGGCAGGGGCCGACGTCGCGGCCACCACGACGAGCCCCCCAGCTGGCTGAGCCGCTGCTGTAGCCAACGCTACCCGAACCACCAGGCACCCACGGCTGCTGAGGGCGCCACAGCTGCTGAGGGCGGAGCTGCTGCTGAGGGCGCCATTGCTGCTGTGGGCGCCACTGCTGAAACGGCCACTGCTGCTGTTCGTGCTGCTGGAGAACCCTAGTGGACTCCATGATAAAGGCTAGCGGGGTGCAGCGGCAGGCTAGGAGCGTTAGGAGCTAGGGACAAAGTTTGACATTTGACATTAAGAGCAATGAAGTAATGTATCAGAGGTTGAATGGTGCTCTGGTCATGCTACACTGGCAGCACACGGATGAATCAGCTTTCACGCGAGAGAAATCGCTTACCCGCACGCGATTAAAGTCGTCTTCAAAGGCGACTTGCAGGTTCGTGACTTGCCATTGGAAGATTCGCAAGCGACCAGCTTTCCTGAGGAGTTCTTGCTTCCACCGCGCCCTCCATCTTATGACTAGTGTGGACATGGATGTCTTCAAAGGGCTTGTCTACGCTCACTCAGGTGATCGTTATGAATGGCTCAGTGTCGGATCCGGCAGATCATGCAAAGATGCCCCTGGTTCATTTCCCAGCGCTATCCTGTTCGCTCTGCAGGGGTCACCATTATAATTCGTTTCATAATGCTTTCATCTCTGAGCTTTGAGACAACGTAAATGGAATCCTACAGTGGCAAAGATCTATAGGATTAATTGTAATGACTACCAATTGCTCACATTTTCCAATATGATGCTTATATGCTTCTTCGCTTACTATCGTGACGCTTGATCATCGCAGTTGCGTCCTTGAAAGACACCTAGCTGAACCTCTCTCTCCTGTGTTACCCAGCTCTGGCTTTAATATTTAGTCGGAGCAACAGGGAAGAGTGGCTCTGCACATAGGCGGGCTGCAAAAAGGCTCATGGGAAGTGCTTCATGACAGCATCAGCGCACATCGCATCCACAACCGTCTGATACACCTGGAGAAATTGGGATATGCAACCAAATGGATACTTGAGAAGCCATGTCTAAATGTAATCAAGAAAGACTACGGGATATGAAACGGCATCATCTCAGTAGGCTAGTCGCAACAGCAACAAGATGGAGTTCAGTAGTTAGTATTGTCAGTGACGTAGCTTTCTTGAGCCTACAGATGCATAGGGGCTATCAATCACTAATTGAATGAGTAATATAAATTATCTTACCTGCACGAGTCTTAAAGCCCGTGGCCCAATTTGCGGACCGCACGGGTCAAGTTTTTAAATCTTGACGAAGTGGGCCGTGCAAGCTTTGAAAAGAAGCGCATATGAAATTTGGGAATTTCGAGGTCTGACATACCTACAAGGAGAGAAACGAGGGGTTGGCTGGGTTTGGCGAAAAAACGATTTCCACAAAATCGGATTTACTCGCCAAAACCCAAACCAGCCAACACCCCCTCTCGTCAAATTTTAAAAACTTCTGCAATATGGGCCAATGGCGTAGATGACCTCACAAAACAAGCTCGTGTAGTAGACGGGGTGGGGGAAGTAACAGACATCTCAATCTTATTAGACACTAGAATACTTGCAGATCACAGTCAATGGTCTTCACCATTGTTTACGTCAGTAGCAGCAACCTCTCCCATAACTAAGGATGGAGGAGTTGCAGACCTATGTCGCAACCCAAGCTTCAGTTTCTCCAATGCTCACCCTCATCAATCACCCTCATCAATCGCGCAGTATATGTCAGCAGTCCAATTTCTCCTGCACACTGTAGCCACTGCTTACTTCCATCTCCTTCATTTCCCACGTCCTGGGTCCAGTCATAGATCAGATCTCTGTCGGCTCTCATCTGCTCATTATAGGTGTCTCTAACATGGTAGAGGACCCGCACTTAGACAGAACCTCGGGTGAAGGCTCCACGGCAGAGAATGATATGCTTTTCAATCGTTGGAATGCGTTCTAGCTCTCCGGCACCTTCCGCACGTTATATCCGCGAAAACGAGAGTGCACCTTTTACTCACGCGCCAATAAGGTTAGCTCCAGAATAGATCGAGCACTGCAGTCCCAGTCGATGTTACCCCACATGGAGCAGACTACTCCTATGACACTGGCTGACAAATTGTCCAACCTTGGTTTTCCGGTGAAAGTCGCCTTCAAGATTGACGCTAAGGCTCGAACATGCCCTGACATGTGGAGACTGCACGCATCAGTAATACACAGGCCTGGAGTCAGAAGAAATATTGAAGCAACTGTAGATGAGGTCATAATGACAGATGGCAGTAGCTTCAAGTATGCTTACTTTAAGGCTTGGTGTGGGACTCCACACCTTCACAAAAGAAGAGAGTAAGCCGATTCAAGAAACGCACACCCACCCGACGCAGGCATTAGCCGTGCTGTGGCAGTGGGTAATCCTACTTACAATTAAACGAGATTGCTTATGGAGGAGAAGGAACTCCAATTAAAGGTTTTTTTTTTCGACCTCACTGGATAAAATTCACCTCATGGTGGGGCTCGGTGAGGAACTTACTGGTGAGGTCTCTTCGAAGCAGTTGCCGGCGAAGGTTAAGACGAGGAAATGTCGTACTCAAATAGTGGAGCTCCAAGTAGCGGGAAGTGTGGTGTGAGACTTGAAACAATGCCGCCTCAGAGTGCTTCACGCCAATCTTTGGCAGAGATCGGCATATGGACCTCACGGATTGGTCTCCGGTGCCTAGGAGGAAGTTGAGTCTTTGGGACACGGGAGGGTTGGAAACGGACTTGGCAGAG